CGTGTTGAAAGCCCGGACGAGGCGTCTTCCATGAGGGGCGGGTCCCATGGACGGGCCGTCGTGGCCGCCCATGATGGGTCGGAGAAGTCGAGACGATCACCATGACGCATAACGTCGACGTTTTGGAAAAAGTCCGGGGAAATTCCGTCCGCGCCTGAGGAGTCCATTGTCAGAGAAAACGAAACCAATGGCGAGCTTAGTGGAATACGGCGGCCGGATGAGTCCAACACCAAATGTCAAGCTTGTGCTAAATAGTCGCTTAATAAATTTAGTGATTAAATCCATATCAAACTATATTATATATAATTGCATCAAAACGAGGCAAGCTTATAAGTAGTTGGTATATATATTCAATTAAGAAATTAAGAAGCTGTGATTAGATTTACATCCTTACATATAGTATTAAAAAAAATTATACACTAATGACTTTATCAAATTATCTTTAATATTTTCTCTTAATTCTAGTCCTTTTTTAACTATCTCTTTGAATTATAAAAATTTAAATCGAATTATATGCATAATTCAATGAAAATTAACACGTTTTCCTTACTAAGGATCTATCTCAGCATTGTATTAAAAAAAAACAAACATAGTTAAATTAGTTATTCAAATTCTCGTGGTTTTTTCCTTTTTGTAATTGGTTTGGTCCACAGATCAAAACCGAAGTCGTTACTTCGGTTCGGTTCGGCCGAAAACCGAATGATCGCCCCTGCGTTTAGTAGGGTAGAGGCGCCACATTCAAACCCCTCCCTCAACGAAGCTAAATCTCCGGCGCTTCTAACCAGTAACCGGGTAAGTTGCCGACTGCTCTCTTTGTGTGTGTTTGTATCCGTCCCCGCCGACCAACCCCTTCCTCTCGTGGCGGCTATCGATAAACCATTTTCGCTTCTGTTTTCATCTTTTCTTTTTCTCACTTTACCTTTGTATTGGTTGGTCTTTCGTTTTTTCTTCTCTTCTTGCAGCTGTCAATTGATAGCCTTTGTTGTTTTGCAGCAATTTAACAAATTGTTCCAACAAATTACGTTCTTGGAGTTTCGACGCACAAGATGGGGTCTGCATCAAAAAGGTCGAAAAAATCACAAACAACTGATAGTGGGTCTGAAGATTTTGAAGACATGGACGATTTGGAACTTGCTGTAAGTTGGTTTTTCTTTTTGGTATATAGTAATTTCTTTTCTCACTCCTTGTTTAATTGAGCTTTGTTACTAGGCTGGGGAAGAGGAATACTTCAGCGACGAAGATGACAATTCAGAGGACGAAGAACAAGTAGACGAGGACGAAGAGGACGATGATGAAGAAGAGGATGAGGAGGAAGTAGAAGAAGAAGATGTAGGGGTGGAGGACGGAGATTGGAGTGCTGAAGAAGAAGCCGGTGGTGTGCAAAATGATGACCATAATGATGCTGAAATGGAGGAACTTGAAAAAGAATATATGAATCTTCGTCATCAGGAACAGTAAGTGTTAAATTCTTTTCATTGCTGCCTTTTGCACATAATAAATCAGTGCCTGTTTCCAATTCCTGGACTTATTCGTGCGCCAGAAAAGAATATAAATGAATACGTAAATTGTGTTCTCCTTCTAGTGTTGTCTTTTTTCTTTTTCTTTTTTTTTCAGACGGCAAAACTGCACCGAAAATGGTCTTTTAAAGCCCACGCTTTAAAGTTGCTCGTGCAAATAAAAAATTATTAACAGGAACAATCATATTTGCCTATGTTTATCCTAAAGTTCTTGTCTCTTTTATTCACAGTATTTTCATGCAATAACTCAAGTTATCCTTTTATTTTAGCATTTTTAACTTTTGAGTTTTTGATGTGTGGTTTTGTCAAATTTTCCTATCATTGCATCTTTGGTGTGTTCAAATTTTCCTGCGTTATTGTTTGATTCAGAGACATTTTGAAGAATTTGAAGCAACACAAGGATGAAGATCTTCTTAAAGGTCAAGCAGTGAAGAATCAAAGGGTATGTCATATTTTCTGTGCTTCAATTACATGTTCTACTGAAGTGGTTCATTTTTTAGTGCAATGTAACATAATTGCAGAAGTTCTATTTTGTCTTTACAGTTTGCTGGACGGTCTAAGATTCTAAGAATATTTCCTTTCTGGTTTCAGGCTTTGTGGGACAGAAGTCTTGAGTTGAGATTTTTGCTTCAAAAGGCATTCTCCAATTCAAATAGATTGCCAAAGGTCTCTTGGTAGAACTACAATTCTTGAAATCTATTCTTTTATAGTGTCAAGTGAAAATTTTGTTCAAAATAGTCTTTGACCTGCAGGAGCCAGTTAAGACCTCATTTTGTGAGTTAGACAAGGCTGTTGAGGTGGCATATTCAGATTTGATTACATCATCAAAAAATGCATTAAATTCTTTATTGGAACTACAAGAGGTATGTCGTTTTATTGAAAATTGTACCTTACATCTATGATGTCCATGGTTGATATGTCTTCTATTAACCCTACGGTACTTTGTTGTGACAGGCTTTACTTGAGAATAATAAGCATATTGACCAAGCGACCGATGGTATGAAAAATTTTGGTCTCTGTATCTTTCTATGTCGTATATATCTATATCATGCATAATATGGTATTAGCTTGTTGGAGAGAGAAGGGGGAACCAACTTTGATGGGATGATTGGGTTCCTTTACTGTTCATTTGTTTCAATAATGGGAGCTCTGATTGTGCTTATAGCAGTGGGCTTGTTAGGTCAATGATGTGCTGTAAATCTTGTCTTGGAAGTTTTGTTGGGCATGATCATCATGATTTTATGAATTGCATATTGCTAGTGCCCCATTTTCTTCTAGAATCTTAACATCTTAAAATATGCATTAAGATTATTGTGCTTCTTATGGATCTGTAAGATGTCATTAGAGCTTTTTCTTGTTGGACTGATGAAACTGAAAATGTTTGTGTAAACCAATGGAAATATATTGGGGCATGAGTTGACTCTGATAAAGCTCTATCCTTCTTCTATAGGCCATCCTGGAGGATCAGTAAAGCACTTGGAGTCTTCTAAAACCATAGATACTCAAACTGAAAATGATGAAGATTGGTCCCGAGTCGCTCAGATGAATCAAAGGTACTCCACTACTCCCCTTTTTCTTAACGAAAAGCCATTATACTGGACTCGTATTCACCTTTCATTGAAAAACTAGTATAGTTTGAATCTGTTTAGCCATCAGACGATTACTTTGAAGAAAGGATTAGGTTGCACAGGGGCTTAGTTTTGTGTAGGTAGCTGGTTATAGTTTGATGATGAATCTTTCCTGTTTCTTAATGCTATATAGGTGTTGGAGGTCATTTCCTCTCTTGATATTGAAACAGATTAATTATTTTCGACTTGGTTTCATTATCATTCCAAAGCTTTGCATCCCCCCACCACCCAATAAAGTTTATTTATGTAGCTTCTAGGGAATGGATGTTGAGTAAGGCATACGTGTTGGTATGTTGTAGGATAGGTGCTTTCAGAGACAAGTCAATCGACAAATGGCATAGGAAAACACAGGTTACAACAGGTGCTGCAGCTATAAAAGGCAAACTGCAGGCCTTCAATCAGGTTAGCTCCTCCCATGTATAAACCATGCTTGTTTTGTGCGAGAGAAGAAAGGTAGCATGACTTACTTGTAATGCTGATGGTGACACAACACAGAATATTAGTGAACAAGTAGCTGCATATATGAGAGACCCGAGTAGGATGCTTAATCGGATGCAACTAAGGAGATCGACCGTACAAGTATTTGGGACGGTAAGAAACAGTAACTAATTGTCCTGTAGTACTCCATTTCCATTGTGCTAATGCTATTGTATGGCTGCGGATGGCAGGTCGTTGACGGAGCCAAGAGCAAGCCACAGGTAATACTGATGGTGGTTATTTATTTAAATTTTCAATAGTATTTGATTATCAACTGTTTGTTTTGGATTAGGAAGCAGAAGCTGAAGGAGGAGGTGACCCTGAGCTTGTGGATGACTCAGAATTTTATCAGCAATTATTGAAGGAATTCTTTGAGACGATTGATCCAAATTCATCTGGTAAGGATTGTGTGTATGTGTAACATAACAAAAGTAGTTATGGATGTTGATGGTGTTTGTGAATGTTGTGAACAGAGACGGCGTTTTATGCACTGAAAAGGCTGCAAACGAAGAAGAGAAAGATAGTGGATCGGCGAGCCTCGAAGAGTCGAAAGATAAGGTGAGTTTGTAATTCCATGGTTTGTTGGTTCTGGTATGAATATGAAAATTGATTAGTGTTGTACTTGTACTGGTTGTAGATATAATATACACGAAAAGATAGTGAATTTCATGCCTCCTCTGCCGCTGGATCTTCACGAGGCCACTCCCAAACTAATCAGCAACATCTTTGGCTTGAAACTCCACAACCCAACTACAACTGCAACTACAACTGCCATTTAGTTTAACACTCTCTTTTTTGGATTTTGTCTTTTTACTTTCTCGTTTATTTCTTAGGCTTTCCATCATTCTTCTTCCTTTTTTATGTGGAGAATTTTATTTACATACTTTGGGGTGCAAATTCGCACTGCAACCTTTAATAGGAGGTATGTGCTTTTGAGCTATGTTTAAAGTTGGGGAATGAAATATTAGATATATATACTTACCTTTTTATTTATTTATTGTTCTCTCAAATATGCCATCTGAAAATGGGTGAGCTAAGGGCACTCGATTTGACTAGCTACTTATCGTCTGCCATTACTCAAATATCTCAAAACGAATATATACGATTTAAATAAATTATTATATAACAAATGTTGAAGTGTATGTTACTCAAAATTATTATAGTTTAGGTCAATTGACATTGAAGAAGCCAATTTTGACTTCTGAAAAAATAATTTTGTCGAAATTCATCCATTTTCTAGCTGTTTTCGTTAATTTCTGTTTTTATAGATCAATAACCAAAACATAGAATAATAACATGCAGAAATTTTTTTCTTGAATACCATTGATGGATAATAAATTATAGCAAAATATATATTGTATTTGTAATTGTTTTTTTTTTTAAATACATACAAATATTTTTGAAAGAATGAAATTACCCATTCACAAGAAATCTAAGTTTGCGTGACCGGAACTGAGGAGAGAAGAAAAACAAGGATTGACGACTAAAATAAAGAACGATTTTAGCAAAATAAATAAATAAATAAAAAAGAAATTGTTGCTTTTGGAAGGTTATGGAAATACAAAATTAAGCAGTAAAGTAAACTATGTGAGGTGAGCTCATTGCTATTTGCTACGCCACAAGGTAAAATAATATCAAGACTCATTTCATACATAAAGTATCGAATTATGGGGTCAATAAAAAGGAATCGCCCCCCCTTCCTGATGACTCTTTTACCATCCATCCAAGTCCAAGGTTCACATAATCAGTCTGTGTTATGGCCTGGCCAATCCGGAGGCTTGACTCGACCCGAATCGACTTGTGCTGTGAAAATTGTGTAGTCTCTCCAAAATTGAATTCCTGAAACTGAAGGTAAACACTAAACACAGCCACCAGCCCAGCAAACTAATCGAAAACTCATTCATCTCGTGCCCTTGGACGAACCCCCAATCCACTCCTGATACTAGCCCCAATTTCCATCACGTCTTCCACCTGCAACAACACAACCCACAAATTTTCAAACCCCTGATTTACTATGTTACTACTTTTGTTTCCCAAACAAGTCCAAAATGTCGGTATGCTATGAATAATAACGTCTTTCCAGCACAACCATTACATATTGGATGAAAATAATGCCTCATTACTAGAGTTCTTTCTCCTAAGTTCAGTCATGAAGACATTGAGATCTTATTTCTATCGTAGCCATGAACGCTTTCCTACATAAAAGTAGCATACCTCTTGACAGAATCAATCTGCCAATCAAACTAATGGCAATGAAGCTATGATATGCATGAAAACAAAGACAAACCATCCCCACTTCTAAACAGAACCTGATGACGGTAGCGAAGATGCAAGAGTATCCATCTTCTGTTATTCGTATGACTGAAAACATCAACTGTTCACTTTTGCATTGCACTAGCTAACAGAAGACTTCAAGGCAATGGTATATATATAACTTCTTATGTTAATATATCCTCACTCGTGAACCCAAAACCTTAATGATTTCTATAATATAAGAGAAATTTATCAAGAGAATCCAACACTATGAAAACAGTACTTCGTTCCAGTGTAGAGCAATACAGAGTATATGATTTTCCTTTATATATTCATGGTGTTGGACTTGACTTTGACTCCAATACTCTATGGAAATACGAGGAACTTGGGTTAAATTCTCACATCAAGCTTCAAACCTTCACCAGAAGGGCAGTACCGTTTGAAGGCTGTAAATGATTAATCATTCTAAATACTATTTAACTTGTATGTCATTTCCAAGTGTACCAAGCATTAAGAGAGAATAAATTCTATCCCTTCAACTTCAAATTTTTCATCAAATAAAATCTTAAATCTAACAAGCGTTGTTATTGTTTGTTACTAATACCTCTTTAAGACTCAATTAGAAAATTGTTCATAAACCAACCAAAAGTCACTTATAATTCATCCAACAGAATATTTATATTACATGAATGTCCAATGCAACTACGAGCATACTTGAACCTAAAATACTCCAGCTCAACAACAAAATACCCAAACCTAAAAAGCTAATATCGCAAAAATGTAGCTTCAGCTAATTACATACAGATTTTTTTTTTTTAATGGAACTTTTATTATTAATTTCATTACTTCCTCTCATGTAGGATGTAATTTGCTCAAAATAAACAACAGAGAAGTTAACCGAGCTGTTCAAAAACTAAAAATGACTTTTATTTGCCTAAAAATTAACTAAATACACGGCCTACAAACAAACATAATCTGGACGAGGCAAGTTCCCTTCAAAATACATACATGAAATTTTATGCCAAGGGGCGATGAAAGGTCAAAGCAAGATTAATCAAAGTTGTTCAATTAGCATCTGACCTAATCCAAAGTCGGGGGGAGGGAGAAGAAATGCGACTGGTAAATGCAGAGTAGGAAAGTGACCTTGTGAATGCCGGAGGCTTTGAGGGAAGCGATGGCGGATGAGGCGGCGGCGCCGACGAAAAGCGAAGCAACGGCGAAGGCCTTAAAGGGCATGAGGCTAGAATTGCCGATGAATCCTCGCCTGAAAGAGGCTATTCCCCAACCAAATTGAGTTGCGCCGGCCAAAGCCCACCACCAGTGGGCGTTGCTACCACCGTCTCCTCCGTTATCCTCCATTTGTCTCTCCGGTTTCCCTCAGCTAACTCTCGCTTAGCAATTTAGAAGTGTTTTATGGGCTAAATGGGCCTGGGCCTGGATGTTGCTAGGCTTCAAGTCTTTGTGGGCTAAAACTTCATCCCCTCTCATAAATTATGTTCATCACGTCGGCGCCACGCCACCAACACCACACGCCCCTCTCCCACTCATGTTTCACTTCAAAATTATACATTTTACCTCCTACTTTCAACAGTCAGCCAAAGGCCCAGTTCGCTGACGTTGTCCAAATAGTCAGGCCACTTGGGCCTTTGTCCAATGTGTTGTTGGGACTTGTTATAATTTTTCAAGCCCACGAGGGAGGAAGAATGCTATAAATAAATTAAATTTACTCAACCTATCAACTTAAAACTTTTGGGTTGAATAGTGGTTTATTTATCTTGTATCAGGATGTGAGGTCTTGTATTCAAACCCTTACATGATTATTTCCTCCCTATTTATATTTAATTTCACTTAGGATAATTTTTCCCACGGTTACCATTGGTGAAATTCTTATAGGTACAAGTATATTTATTGAGTGAGTGAGGATTCGAACTAGAGTTTTTTTATTTTTTTAGAAATAGGTGCCTTGATTGAGCAATAGTAAAATTGACTATTATATATCATTTGATTAGTAATTTAAAATATCATCACGTCATATTTTATAAATTCATTTTCAGAATGCTCTCAAATAAATTCTCTCCCTTTTTTTTTCTAAAATAGAAATATTAGATAAAAAAAAAATCCTCTGCGCAGTTATAATTTCAGGTGTAACTTTTTGAAACATTGAGATTGGCAATTTTGAAAAGATTTGAAAGATTTTGGTATATTTTCCTTTTTGGGTTCTT